TTGACTATGCAAAGGCATTTGCATGTGTGGATCATAGTAAACTGTGGATAACACTGAGAAGAATGGAATTTCAGAACACTTCATTGTGCTCATGTGGAACCTGTACATGGACCTAGATACACTTTAACAAATTGAATAAGGGAATAAATACTGCATAGTTTAAAATCAGAAAAGTGTATCCTTTCATCATACTTACTCAATTTGTATGGGCAGAGAATCTGAGAAGCTGGACTTTGTGCAGTCCTACTAGGTGTCAGGATTGGAGGTAGGCTTATTAACAATCCAAGATATTGCAGATGATTCAGCCTTGCATGTTGAGAGCCAGGAAACCTTGCAGCATTTGCTGATGAAGATCAAGGATTTCAGCCTTCAATAATGGATTACAACTCAATGTAATGAAAATCAAAGGCCTCACAACTGGACCAAAATGTAACATCTTGATAAATGGAGAAAAGATTGATGGTCAAGGTCATTTTGCTAGGATCCACTATCAGTGGTCATGGAAGCAGCAGTCAAGAGATCAAACAACAAATTGCATTAGGTAAATCTGCTGCACAAAACCTTTAAAAAGTGTTAAAGAGCAAAGATGTCACATTGAAGGTGTGCCTGACCCAAGCCACGGTATTTTCAGTGGCCTCATGCATATGAATGTCAGGCAGTTAATGAAGAAGATCACAGAAGAATTGATGCATTTGAATTATGGTGCTGGTGAAGAATAGTGAAAGTATAGAATTCCAGAAGTATAAACAAGTCTTTCTTAGAAGTATAACGGGAATGCTACTTAATAAGCTTTGGATATTGTGGTTTAATCTTTTTGGTGTTAATATAATACTGTAGAATTCCACTTTCATGTTATTCAGTTTATTCAATTATTTCCTATAACCTAATTCTAATAATTATACAGTATTATGTGAAAGTTTTATATTTAGTTCTACCAGTACCCTCATTCTCAACTGTATAATCCAACCTGTTAAGTCTACTAATTACAAGTATATGAGCATATGAAAAACTGCCATTGAATTGATGCCAACTCATAGCGACCCAATAGGACAAGGTAGAACTGCCCTTTGATTTCCAAGACTAACTATGGGAATAGAAAGATTCATCTTTCTCCCAAGGAGCAGCTAGTGATTTAGAACTTCTGACCTTGCATTTAGCAGCCAAGTGCATAACAGCTACTCCATGTACACACACACAATTTTCAGTATCAAAGCTTATTTAAGCTGCTCCCTTATGTGATATAATCTTGTAAAGTCTCTTTGATAATAATTGTAAAATGGAACATAATTTCTACATATAACCGTTCTATTCTTGAAATTGACTAGAAGCAGAAAACAATCCAGTGCAGCCCATCTTTTGATCTCTTAACATTAATTGGACACAAACAAGACAAAATCCTTGATAATTTAAATATTTTCTCCATTTATCATGATGTACCTCTAAGTTCAGTTGTGAGAATTTGGGTCTTCTTTTTTAAAAAAATTATTTTATTGGGGGCTCATACAATTCTTATCACAGTCCATACATACATCCATTTTGTCAAGCACGTATGTACATTTGTTGCCCTCATCATTCTCAAAACATTTGCCTTCTACTTTAGCCCTTAATATAAGTTGCTCATTTTCCCCCCTCCCTCCCCGCTCCCCCCTCCCACATGAACCCTTCATAATTCATAAATTATTGTAGTTTTGTCATAAGTTACACTGTCTGACGTCTCCCTCCACCCTCTTCTCTGCTGCCCATCCCCCAGGGAGGAGGCTATACTTAGATTCTTGTAATTGGTTCCCCCCTTCCACCCCACATTACCCCCACCCTCCAGGCATCGCCCTTCTCACCACTGGCCCTGAAGGAGTCATCTGTCCTGGATTCTCTGCGTTTCCAGTTGCTATCTGTACCAATGTACATCCTCTGGTCTAGTCAGATTTGCAAGGCAGAATTGGGATCATGATAGTTGGGGGGAGGAAGCATTTAAGAACTAGAAGAAAGTTATATGTTTCATCGTTGCTACCCTGCACCCTGATTGGCTCATCTCCTCCCCACAACCCCTCAGCAAGGGGGTGTTCAATTGCCTACCAATGGACTCTTGAGTTTCCTTGTTCATTAATGCCTGACACCCAATTCCTTTAGATCTTTACATTGAGTTATAATCTGTACCGAAGCTTGCAATCCTTGATCTTCGTCATCAAGTGCCTCAACTCCTCCTCACTTTTAGCAAGGAAGATTATGTCATCCACCTATCACAGGTGGTTAATAAGCCTTCCTCCAATCCTCATGCCTCCTTCTTCATAAAATCCAGCTTCTCTGATTACTTGTTCAGCATACAGATTGAATGAATATGGTTAGTAGAAAATAATTAATAGCCCAGAAATAAACTATGATATTTATAGTCGATTGATTTTTGCAAGAGCACCAAAATAATTCAGTTGGTAAAAATAGTGTCATTGATTGAATTGTGACTTCCCTAAATATGTATTAATTTGCTTGGGCCATTGTGGTGCTTAGATAATTTTATGTCAGCTAGACACCCTTTGCTAAGGGTGGAGTCAAACCTGTCAAGCCTGATGCTGCCTCCTTGAGGTTATGGCCCTCTGATAAGAATGGTCCTGAGAACATCCTTCTCACTCTGCAACTCTGCCTTCCTGCCTGGTAGGTCTCCCTAGGACTGATTGTAGAGCTGTTGGAGCGCTGTCATGTTTCCACCAACTTAGAATCCACACAGCTCTGCACCCACCAGCCTGTGATCTTCCTGCAATCTGCATCACTGCATGTGGCTGCATGAATCAGAAAAGGGGCTTTATGGACGAGAATATGACTTTCAGACTTGAGTTGGACTGGGCTGAGCTGGATCCATTTTTTTAATAATAATTACTTATTGATTTAAAGCACTTTCTTATACATATATGAATGTCATTGGATTTGTTTCTCCAGTCAACCTGGCATAACACATCCAGGATTCTCATTCACAGTTAAATAATAATGTAATTATCCCCCGGTCTATGATGTTTTCTGCTGTGATCAGTTAATGTAAGAACATTAACCTGGGATGCAACACCCTTAATCACATCACAACCCTTGTCCATATAAGGGGAGTTTTCCTGGAGTGTGGTCAGCCCCACTTTTTTATCATGGAGAAAACGGAGAGAGAAGCTAACAGAGAAGAAAGAACCAAGACAGAAGAGCCTGGGACAGACAGCATATCCTTTGGACATGCGGATACCTGCAGAGGGAACTTCTAGAGCCAGGAGAGACACAGAGAGAAAACTTTCCTCTGGAGCATGTACTCACTCTGATTCAGACTTCCAGCCTTTTGAATTGAAAGAATAAATATCTTTTTACAAGTCATCCACTGTTATATTATAATAGCACTGGATAACTAAGACAAATCATTGCTATAAAAAATGATCTTAAAACAATTATATATTTATGTGCAAAAGAATGAATTTGGAACTCAGCACAGTGCCATACACAAATATTTTCCAAAAATAGGTGATAAACATTACATATAAGAGCTAAACTATGAAACACAGCCGAAAACTCAGGATAAATCTGTACGACCTTCCTATGGGCAATATAAAGTGGTACAACTCCTTTGAAAAGCAGCTCAGTGGTACTTACAAAAATAATGGTACAGTGTAACCTAACAGTTCTACTTGTAGTTAACTATTCAGAAAAAAATAAAAACTAAGTTCACCCAAAGACACATAAATGTTTAATCGTATTTATATGAATGGGTTTTTTAAAGTTCATGGAAAATTTTCATTATCTCTTAATTCCATGCC